TTTTTTTTTTAAAAAGGCTACTTAGATCAAGGAAGGGGACCATAACATATCCTCAATTGAAGATCTAATTTCATGGACAAGGTGATGTTGGACGGGGTTTTATTTGATGCTGGTACGGATTTGAAAGAGGTGGTAAAGGGTTTCTATGGAAGTTGTAATTGCAGCAAGCTCCTTAGAGACCTAATCTGAGTGTTCTTTCCTTCTCCTATTTGTCTTTGGTGGACAAGGATTGGGCTTAGAAACCTTTCTGTGAAGAACAGATTTATTGAACGCATAATGAGCCAGAGATAAAGTCCTTAGCCTGGATGGTTTCTTCTTAGCTTTCCTACAACATAACTGAAATGCTGTTAGATGTGACATTATGAAGGTTTTCCAAGGTTTTTTCTTCAACAACAGATTTGTTTGCAAACATTCAAGATTTTTGACCCATCAGTCTTGCGTGCCGTGTGTATAAGGTGATTAGGTGGATGAGTAAGGTGATAGGTACTATGGCTGGAAATATCAGAATGCCTTTGTGGTGGATCATTAAATTACGGAGGTTGCCCTTGTAGCCAATGAGTTGATGGATTATCTTATCAAGAAGGGTAAAAGGGCCTGCTTTGCAAAGTAGTTGTGGAGAAGGCTTATGATCATATATTTCAGAACTTTCTCCATTGTTAAGAAGGTGAAGTTGGGGAAAGATGGTGCCAATGAATCAATTATTGCATTTCATTTTCTTGTGCAATTATGACTATCAGTCTGTTAGTTTGTTCTTTGCATTAAGAGATTTGGAAGAAGGTGACCCTCTCTCTCCTTTTTATTATAATCATGGAAGCTCTCAACTAAATGATTTCCCAAGGTAAAGAGATTATTATTATCTTTTTCTTGGAGAACTGGTTATGGTTGATGGTAAGGAGGGAATTTGGTTTCTCATATTTTATTTGCTGATGGCACCCTCTTGTTATGCAGGCCAAATAAGGAGTCTTTCCTGAATAGTTGATGCATCTTACTTTGTTTTTAAGTAGTTTCTGGTTTGAAAATCAATCTTTCGAAATCTGAGTTGGTTCCCATTGGTGATGGCATGGATG